TAAAACTATTAGTGATAATATTTAACATCATCGTATTGTGAATGAAAAGTACGTAACACTGTAAACTAAACGCAGCATAAAGAGTATGAAATATTTTTTTCAGATCTTGGTTAGAAGCTGCTAATGAAGAAAAATGGACAAGAGGTCCTTGTTGTTTCAAATTTCAACAATATACACAATACAATAATTTTGTATATATACCATCAGAGTTTATAGATAGTATCAGAGATATAAGAATTAAACCATCAGCAGGTTTTTTTTTTATTCCTGATGAAGTCATACCAACCGGTATAAAAGGTATTTTATATTTTTTCATATTGTCTATGCTACAAATAAGTAGCAGATGAATAAAAATTCCTGTTAACAGTAGCAAGGATGTAAATATTTTTTTCTAATTTATGATAAACTGTTTTTTTTTTTTTATATTTTAATACTATTTGAATACTAGTTCTTTTATTCATTTTTCCATCTAACTGTAACAATATCATAGAACAATGTAAGATTAATAAAATTCTTATTATAATTCTTTTTTTTTTTAAGTAATTGTAGAGGCTTTGCTACCTAAAAATTGTGAAATTATAATATTGGGTACTAACAATATTATAATAGGTGAAAAAATGATACATTATTCATCTGCAAATATGGTATGTGCGTTTTTACCACAAATCCCGAACGTGAGAGTGAAATCATTTAAAATACCAGAAAATTGTATCATACGGAAAACAGCTGAATATCAGGAGATAATTAGCACAATTGTTAATAATGAAACATCCACCTCGAATCACGAGACATGTTTTATGTTATTTTGTAATTTATGGGGTCGTAGCAGAGCAAAACGTTGGGCCTCGACCATACGAGAAAGGTACAATATAAATATTTATATATGCTTATTTAAATATAAATTTAATCTAAGCAATAATACATATCCGAATTTATTATTTATGTCCAACTGTTGTACTTATACAATTGCTAATGTTCGATAACACATATTTATTTCTTTTTTGCATAGACTTAGTAAAGAAAATGAAATAATTTCCGTATGGGGTGGTGTGGTGAAAGACCTTTATGCACAACGTGCACATACTGGCTTGTGCAAAGGACAAAAAAGGAGATTCGAATTTTTTGAAATGCACTACTACTATACACCACGTTGTTTCGCCGTTCTAATTACTGGCTCTGTACAGACATGGTCCACGATTTTGGAAAGGAAATGCAATACAAAAGAGCTAATCGAAGCGAGATTAAAGTTATTTAAGGACAAAGTGAAGTTAAAAAAACATTCCATAGGATTTACCTTCATGAGTCCACAATGTGGAGCTGATATTCACGATAAAATCAATGAAGAATCAATAGCATTCAAAAGATTATTCCCCAAAGTACCCTTGGTAGGCTTAGTCGGTGATGATGAATTTTGTGGCGTGTTCGGAAAAACTACTGCCGTCGATGAGGTGAACGAAGAAAGTGAGTAATACTTTTCTCTCTTTTCCTCTTAGTGAAAATGTAATCTCACGCTAAGTCGATTTTCTTTTCGTTTTAGGAAACGATAAAAAGAAACAAAATTGTGAGAAATCTAAATCTTGGTTTAATGACTCTACTGTATTTTTGATACTTACGTATGGTTAACGTTTTTAAAAAAAATACATATGCTATGTGTTGCAAACATATTTTATCACTCGTACATTACTAGATTTAGATCTCGTGTTCACCAATTTTTTTTGTTATTAACGAAACAATGAAATAATCGTTCGACATTGACAGAACAAAAACATACAGTATAACGAATGTCGTAGCAATAAATCTAAGTACAGAAATTTATATCTTATTCTAGATGTAATATCTATGAATGCGTTTTGTACGAGTCTTAAAATGATGTTATTGATGAATACAAGGAAAAACAAGTTACAATTTATGATATTACATATGTTTGTACTGATATTATACGTTTGTACTATATATATTTTGCATATTTTTATTTTTTCGCGTTTATTACTTTTCTGAAGTGCTTTTAAATAATCCGTATTGAATCGAGCAAGCGATCGTTTACTCAGCGTGATTATTGTTTGAAATAAGCAATTTCGGAAAACGAATGCAAATAATCCATGATACTTTACAACGTTTGTAAAATTATCGTTCGTGGCCGGTTTCAATGTTGATTTCAACGTCGCGCGCGATATGCGAGCACAAGGTCGCACACTACACGAGGTTTACGTACACGGTCCGGTATAAAATGCATCCCTTCTGTATATAATTGTAATCCCCCGCTTGATAGTACTTTCGTGCTCACGATGCAACATGCGAAATAAAACAGGAGAAACTAGGCCAAACGGATACCATCGTCTTATTGTGACACCGCCAGGGTTTAAAAAGGAGTTTCCCTTCTGCGGTGATTTAATTGCTGCGACCGTGGTTCGTAACTTTAATGCGAGGCCTGTACAACTCACGATCGAATTCCTCTTGCTCATAACGATATTAAATATCAGTAAGATGTTACGGAATTCAGTATCAAAACAAATTTTCATTTTTGGTTATACTGCAGTATTCCGTTTACTCGCAACAATGGAAAAGCAATTCGTGCCAAAGGTACGACGGCTATGGAGATGATTAAATACTCATGTCTGACGACAATGGGTAGCCGCAGTGTCTCAGAGTTAAAGGTTCAAGACAAAAGGAGAGGATGATTCGAAAATGGCCTACGTAATCTACACTCGATATTTATCCAATTGCAATGTATTATTTATGCTATCGCGCTACAATATTCTTCCATTATTCATTCGATCTAGCTTTCCATAATATTTTTAAGATCTAATCCGAAAGAAAGAGCGTACGGATGACTTTAAATGACTCCACGAATCTTGCCGGCGTCGGCTATAAGCCCTCGCGAAAAACGAAGTTTATAACGCACAGATGTGAACTGAACGTCATGAGTACCAAGCTTTTGAACATGAAAAAAGATATGGCCGTTGTTCCAATTTGTTTTGCGTGTTAGTTCTCGGTATATTGTGGCGAGGCATGCACTCGCGGATAATTTGCACTCTTTCGAGCAGCCTTCTCAATCATAGCAACTACAACGTCATCTTGTTATAATTGCCATGTGGATTGGAAATCCGTGGCCGCGAGCACTGCATTTTACTTGGGACCGATGCATAACACCGTAAGAGTCGGTACTGACGCCGCCAATTTTATACATTTCTTAGTGAAAAAGACTGAACTGAAAACGGAAGACGTTCACGGTATGTATTGCCTTGTATAACACAATGTAACATTTGTATATATTTACTTTATTTCATAACTGTCTTGTGGAACAAAAATTATTGGAGCTAGAAGCTTCGCCGGAAGTCGTATTAACTTTGCACTTCTCGAACATCATCAAAGTAAAAGCACCAATATCTCTTGTCAGTATACACAGCTTCGCGAGAAACAAGTAAATTCTTTGCCTATATTTTGATAGTCCTCGAAAATCAATTTGAGTGCTTTCCACTATTCGACAGAAAATATAAGAAAGAAAATCTTGAAACAGGAGATCCCGAAGGCAATATGCCTCGAAGCATATATTTAATGTGTACATACGATCAAGCTCTACGCTTCTCCGAGGAAAACTGAAGTTAGTTTTTCCTTAATGAAAATTTGATCCGACGGTTCTTCCGTTTTGGCTTGTAATCTTCGCTATCTCAATTAAATCTTGAATTAAAATCTTTGCGAGAATAAAATGTATTTCCGTAATAAATATTGAGATACATAACTTATATTTAATACAGAAATATTAATATTCTTTTAATCACGACATACCTAATGATAGACTTTGATTATTTCCATTGCTCGCTACTTTCTATTCAGATTTGCGTTTCATTTCAAAATGAAAACGTATAATGCAATTGTATAAATTTCAATTAAATCGTTCCGCTCGGTTGGCACTAAGATCTTGTAATTCTGAAATCGGCATTAATACTTAATACGCGCGTAATTGGCTACGTAATTCCGCGACGGTGTAACGAAGAATGTGAAGCAAATAGATAAAAATAGCCCTACCCCTTATGAATTATGAATGGATGAGCGTGTTACAATCTGATTTATGGTGAATGAAAGATACGGATATTTTTATCGGAGATAGCGACGTGATAAATTTCACGCCCGCGGCCTCGGTAAAATAAAAAGTATGACGCCCGCATCGATCATACACCCACCTTCGCGTACACGTAATGCTACTTAATGCTAGCTCGGTTAATCAAATTGGAAGCGCGAACTTCGAACGTAAATGCAGTTGCGATACGTTGCGTGACGTACATATATCTTTGCGTAGGTTTAAATCGTTTAAACTCCCGTATATATATATACACAGTCGTCGACACAGTAATCAAGAAATCATTTGACGTTTGTGCACGAAGTTTTGTGAAAATAGTACCGCTTTTCCCGCTTAAAATTTCGCCGTATACTCTTCAAGAGTTCTTAAAGATAATAAAATCGTGGTTAAAACGAGTGGCCGAACTAAATTAATGGTAATAAGATTTATTCAGGTTTTCGCTTTTAAGAATGCAATAAGAAGTTGCCTAAATTAAAACTTTGATTAAAAACGAAGGCGAAGTACGATCCAGGACTAAGTTGTATATGTGTATATGCGTGTGCGTGATTACGAAAGTTCACTACAACGCAAATACAATAATTGGCAGTTCGATCGGAGAGGGGGGGGGGAGGGAGGGTTAAGCAAACGTCTGGAACTTCATCGGGCGAATTAAAAATCGATGGTATTTCCGCGATACTCGGGGAAAGTGGAAATTAAATTTGTCGAAGGAAATGCAAACCCGTCGAATAAAAAAGTTTCGAAATTTTCAAGACGAAAATATAGAGTTTGGTAACAGATGCCGTGAGAGAGCAAAAGGAAAGAGGGGAGAGGGAGGGATGAGTGGTTACCCAGTTTCCCTTAAGTGGTCGATATTTATTTTCAATATGTCGGTAATAACAACTTTGAAGTGCCTAAAGGCATGTATCTCCGGGGCTCCTTGCAAACAACAGTTATAAAGTGGTTTAATAAATATAAAATGGAACGTTTATATAGCTCATAAATTCTAAACACTTCCAGTAAATACATTCGATGGAGCACATAAGGTATATCAAATTTTCCTTATTTTCCCTTACAAGCATTTCACACAAGCGTTTTATTAGTAAACGAATTTTAAAAATAATCTTTATTTCGATATTAAAATTTCAGTAGCTTTGCACCGTAAATAATCAAAGCTAAACAAAATTCTGGCGACTCCGATATTTTTAAACAATTTCGCGAATTAACAAAAAAAATTTCCATTTTATTTCTACTTCACAAGTTGTCTGGCGCTGAAAATTAAAATCTCGCGATTCTAAAACTCAAATGCGAATTCGACAAAAAGCGTTCCATTGAAATATCATCGTAAAACAATTTTTCAAACGTATTTTCACTTGAATTCATGACCTGTGGATTAATCCTGATCTATAGGTTCAGCAAATCATCGTTTGCGAATTTTCGCGTAAATACTGGAGAGGCTTGTCATGCCCTGGCAGCTCTATCCCTTGGAGCAACATTATAGTATTATACCGGCAACATAATGCCTTATCATCGCGATTCGGCGTGAACTGAAGATATTGACAACGCACGTCCGTCGTTCGTGCACCTCGCCGCGGCGGCTCGGCGCTAATTACTGGCAGGGCATTGTCAATACTTCGGTCGACAAGTAAATATTGATGGTCTGAGAGACGCTTTACGGCAGCCGCGTCGCTCGAGCCTCTAACTTTGACGAAGCAGTGGATAACTTTTGCGAAACTAGGTCTATCTGGTTGGAGCACATATCCCAGCGCGGCGGGGCTCTCTCTACGTGCATCAGCGCGCGGCGCGACGGTGCATCGTCCCGCGGCGCAGTATATCACACGGGGGAAGAAATCCCCGAAGCTTCGGCCGTCTTACGTCTTTTCCGGCTCCTATCGTACCCCCCAATCGGCCGCCGGAGCTAGAGACACCGCCGCCGATCGAAAGAAGGATCACCGAAGGAAGCGACACGTCGCGAGAGCTCTCCGTCGTTTAGCCGGACGAATACGTTTTCCCTGACGATATCGCATCTGTCACACTCTCGGGATCATCCGTATCGATCTCTAAGAGAACGAAAACTAACGAAAACAGGGGTAAAGCGAAAACAAGCCGCCGCATATTGTGATATAATACCTGGTGAATAATTGAAGCCGTGAGAGAGAAAGAGGATGCACAAACATTTATATCTTTCCAGCAAATATCCTCTTGTCCCTTCTTTGCTCTCTCTCTCTCTCTCTCTCTCTCTCTCTCTCTCTCTCTCTCTCTCTCTGGCTTCCTTATTTATCAATTATTTATATGTATAAGGTATCTTAAAAAATTACAAACAATTTCTCATCTATCGATTATTTGATCAAGAAACATTAAATAATTATAATTTCAAGTTTCGTAGCACAATGAATATTCGCGTATGCAAATTATACGTATATCTCTTTAGGAATATATCTAACTACAGGTGAGTTACGCTGTGCAAATTAATAAGATCTCCCTTATAATTTCTGGACGATAAATATTCGACAAATATTCATATGAATAAATTTATTAAATTATCGCAGCGAAGCGCGAAAGCTTGAATTATTCATGTTTGTTATAAAACATTAAAAATTCTGATGTTGAAATGATAAGAAGCGTTACTAATTTGCGTAATAAATGTTCCGCAAATTATGAGATAGAATTTCGATATTGTTAAGCTATAGTGAAATTTTTATGGTTTAGGACAAGAGGTCAATGACAAATTTAATTTTTTTTCTAAATATTCTAAATAAACAAGTTATGAGTTTAACAAGTTATAAATTTAAGGGCATTTAAAGTCCAGAGTTTTAAAAAGAATTTTACGAAATTATTTGCTTTTTGATATACATATGTAAAACACAATTTCTCCATTATTTGTACGAGATAAATAATACATATAACCGATTATTAT